TAGAGATCGCTGTTTCTACTGTGGAAACAGGTTTGTAGGATTACAATTCTACAAGCCAGCTCTGATTTGGTTACCTGTTGAAAATCAGGCTCTGGCTCCTTGGCCAGTGTCAGCATCCACTCAGCTTTAAAATCACTGGTTTGGCACACAGTCTATGCAACTGACCTGTTATTAGCAGCTGTCCTGGGTGCAGTTTGTTCTTTATTATCACATTTCATTTGTCTTTTCATGTAACACAAATTCAGGTGTCCATTTTTGAGATTATATACATTGTAGATGAATTTTCCTTCTTCCACCGCAGAAACTAAATTTAGTTGATTGTAGCGCCAGCATGCAGGAAAAAAAAGGCATGTGTTATGACTTTTTTTCTATTTGCCTAATGTGCAGATAATTGAAGAACCATTATAATGCAAGTAGTAATGTAATTACTGAATTTAGTATAGCAATATGTTACATTACTGCATTATAGAAAGTTGCATCCATAATTAATGTGTGAGCCCAAAGCTCAGGCTCCAGACAACTCAAAACACTACAATTTCAGACATTTTTTTCTACTATTTAATATATATGATGTCACAGAGAGGATATTCCTAATATGGTCAACTCAGCTAAAACTGTAAGCACAGGAGGGCCATCTAGCTGCTGTTGAAACTTTCTATCTGTGAGTGCCAGCCAATGCGAATAAAGTTGTCTAAATGGGAGGAGCTAAAACAGCTTAGATAAATAGACAGTGAATGAAATGTAGGGCTGCACCAAGGCCCAGTATAGGATAAATAAGGATTATCTGAGCTGTAAATCCTGAAAATCTACTCTACTGGAAGGCAAGAATTGAAAAAATATTTAATTTTTGCCCAAGCTAGTTTGTTCTTCTTAGAACTTCTCGAGTGTTAAATCACTTCAGTTTCTGTTCACTTTTAAAAACATAGTTAATATTAAAGTTAATATTTACAACACAGATTGTGATGAAAATCATGTAGTCATGGTCACAAGGTCCACATTCTTTTTTAGCTTCAGATTCAAAAACATATTGCAAAATATAAGAGGAATGGTCACCCTTGACCTTTCGACCCCTTATCTGTAGTAAAATATTACCTTGCACCTTGTTTTTATTGATATTTCTACTATACCCAAAGCATCTCGTTCTTATCTTCAGCATAAACCAGATGAAGATAGTACCTTTACCAATGTTACATAAACAGACTTCATATACACTTTGCGCATTCTATTTATTTTAACTCGAAAATTTCTATTAACCCTGCTGAATTGGTGCAATAGGATGAAATTGGGTTTTGATCGCCGTGTTGTCATAAACACAGACTGATGCACGTTGCGCATCCTGTCTCTGCGTCCATGCATGCAAAGTCACTGTTTGCACACAAACATGTAGGTGTGTGTCAGACAGAGGTCTACGGTGTCACATGAATAATTCAGCGGTGCGCTGGTTGAACATAGGCCCGGGAGCTATCAGGTTACAGGAAGTAGGTTGGGTGCATCCACAACACAACAGCCAAGGCACAGCCAGAAGCCATTTACTACTGTACTTTGCCCATGTGGTCATTTAACATCTATGCATTACCGCTATTGATTGACATAAAAGCCGGACAAATTCAGCTAAACCGTAATTAGCTGGAGACCATGACCCAACATAAGATTGGAGAAAGGCGTTACAAAGAAGCTGAACAGCAGATTAGAGTCTGGAGGGATCAAATTGGAGGAGACAGAGGAAATTACTGTCCCTTGCCGCAGCTGATAATCTGTACCTTCATTTTAAAAAAAAAAGAAAGAAAAGAAACCTTCATAATGGTCAGCAAAACACTGACACTGCTACCACTCAATTTCATTCTATAACACAGCTGTTGAAATTCTTGGTGGGAGATGCTGCTGTTGGCACACCGCAGCCTCTTTGACACCTAACAGATTGTTATATTTCAGCGGCTAGTCTGTGAAATTTCTGCCTCACTCGCTTGTCAAGGTTCATGGAGGCTGAAGAGTTGGATTTAAACTACTGCTGGCCGTCTTCTGTATTCATACTGTTTGCTTTACGATCTCCAGCTAATACACGCACACACACACCAACATATATATATACATATTTTGAAAATCGAATGCAGAGCTCCAGATTTAGTTTCAGCCAAATCTCCTCTCCAAATCTCCCATGAAAACCCTGCTAAGATTAGGCAGAGAGCAGCACTTTAAGCAGGCCTGACAGATGGACTGCCCAATTTACCCATGAGCTGTGAGTAAGGGACAACACTCACTAGCCCCACCCCTGCCAACAGTTCGTTTCCCCTTCAATATATGAAGCCCCCAATCTTCCACTCTTCTCTCCACTCCACCAGTTTCTTGCCACTTGAGCTCCCATTAAATCTTCTTCCTCTGCCATGAGCATACCGGGACCTCCTCTGCCCGTGTCCAACTGTGTCTCACATCCAGTTATTCTGCTAATTCCCGCTGGGCTTGCTAATAGAGGTTGGCAGGGAGAAATGCTCACTCCTTTTCCCTCCATTTCTTCATCGACTGCCATCCTCCTGATGCTGGAAATTAGTCTGAGAATTAGAGGGAAAATTGGGTCTCACCTCTCAGGGAACATTTTAAGAGGTGAAAAATGAAAGCTAGCAGCTCACCTTTTTGTCTGCTCACACCAATTATGAATCTCCCAATCTGCTAACTCCAAAATCTAATTAAAGTATAATAACACATCTGCCATCTCTCTCGCTCTCTCTCTCTTTTCTTCACTCAGTGACTTCTACTGAAAACTATACAGGTACCAGTCAGGTTTTGAGTCTTCAGTGTTGCATAGTGCAAAGGGTCTGAATGCTTTTAATTCATATTTTTGTTTTGTGTAAGATAATTCAGACCAAGTGCATAAATACTTAAAGAAAACAGTGAATATAAAGCAGCGACTGTGCCAAAAAATCAGAGGAGTTTCATGTTATTCTATAAACAGTTTTAAAACAGTAGTTGTGAACAAATGCAGTACTATTTGCTGAGATGCTGCCTCAGCATTTTAATTTAGGAAAAAAAATACATTTTTGTTGTTGCATTTATTTAAACAAATTGGATACATAGTGTTTTGATTAGTGTATAGACATGACAGTTCTATCAATCTAATTCCTTTCATTAACGTTTGGATTTAAAGTAAATGCCATAGAGCTAAAAGATGGGCACAGCCACTATGAGATTACCATTTGGTTTCTGGACTCTCTTTTCAAGTTTCAGTGCATTTGGGGCATTTTTTTGTTGTTGTTTTTTTTTTTTTTGAGAAGTGACCATATTTGGATGAGAATAACTATGTGCAACAAGGCAATGATGTTTAACATTCCAAAATCTTCCTCTTTTTACACACAGCAGAGAAAATCAGTAAATGGCCTGTATTTATATAGCGCTTTACTAGTCCCTAAGGACCCCAAAGTGCTTTACACATCCAGTCATCCACCCATTCACACACTGGTGATGGCAAGCTACATTGTAGCCACAGCCACCCTGGGGCGCACTGACAGAGGTGAGGCTGCTGAACACTGGCGCCACCGGGCCCTCTGACCACCACCAGTAGGCAACGGGTAAAGTGTCTTGCCCAAGGACACAACGACCGAGACTGTCGGAGCCGGGGCTCGAACCGGCAACCTTCTGATTCCAAGACGAACTCCCAACTCTTGAGCCACGATCGCCACAAAATGTTTTTGCATTTAAAAAAGAAATTTGAAGCAGGTGTAAATGTAAAAATCTTATATAAATCTTATATTTAAAATTGATACATAAGGATATGCATAAAACCATATTACATTAGGGCAGCAACTTTTGAAGTTTGATATGGATTCTTTGCAACAATATTTGAACAATATTTGAACAGACAAACACAACACTGAGAAATTCTAGCTACAGGTATCAGGACAGCATCCATGTGCCAGGTCATGAGGTCCCCCATTTTCCATCACCGCTTATTTTCATTCAAGAACAGATTATTGTGGAATGTGTGATAGAAAATGTTAAATATCTATGTCTACTCATTTGAAAATATGAAATTTAATTTAGGTCTTTCTTTAGAGGAAACAAAACATTCGTCTTGACCTGGGTCTTCATGTGCAGAAGTCAAGCTTATATCTGTGCAAACCAGTGTTTTACAAATGAACCAATATCCTGTTAAGGCCACTATGTTTAACAGCCAGAACTGTGAAGATATGAGTGAAACTATGCTGTTTTTGTTCCACGGTGGAAGTTCATGGTCATGCTTTTCCTTTAATCCTGTCTGTCATGGTTCCACTTATTCATTTCTTTAGTTAAAGAAATGTCATCTTCTCTCAATTATAAGAGAGAATACAGGATGATATAAACACACGCGATACAATCAGCTCATGTAGGTGGTATGAGCCCTTAATTGTCCTGTTTTCAGGGATAAAAGGACCTTTCAATATCTGTGTCTGTGACCTCTTAGTAACATCCTTTCACACTGATTTTGTTTTCTATCCTTGAGGAAGGAAGCATGGCCTGAAGGTTTGTGTGCCATTTCATACATTGTAGCATTCATTCATAAACAAATTGGAAGCTCTTAGAAGACCAACAAACTCACTCATTTATGAAAAAGCTTTCAGTTTTCTATTCTGTTTTAATTCATAGACGCTTAGTTAAGCCTTCCTAAATGCATTTTAGTTGTGAGGTTGGAAGAGGGCATCAATGAGCCCTGTTTGGTTCTTTTTCAACAAACCTAAAACCATAGCTCATGACCATGAACCTCCTGGTGGTGCAAAGAGTTAATCCCGAGAGCGTTTTATTAGTATATTTAACTTCAAGTAGGAGATGTAAGGGGCGAAATTTGTGCAAAAGTGTGTAGTAATCAGTGGGCATTTCAAATACTTTTAGCTGTTTGTTTTTTTTGTTTGGAGGTTTTTTTGTGTGGTTTATGTGATTTTGTAAAAAAAACCCAAAAAAAACCCTCTCTGCTCGTGTCTTAGATTTTTATTTTGCTGGAAGTGATTAGTGAGGTGATTTTTATCCTCTTGCAGGTCTCCGTCATGGCCTGGGTCAGTTGACCTTCAGCGATGGGACGTGCTACACTGGACAGTTTGAAAATGGCCTCTTCAATGGTTGTGGGGTGCTGGTCTTTCCTGACGGCTCCAGGTTTGTCAGTCACTTTTTACACACTCTGGTTGTTAAACCTTGAAACTCTGCACCTGAAAATTTAAAACCTGCAAATAAGTATGTCGTACAGGAGATACAACCCCAGCCTCCTCCTGAATGAAACCTGTCTGATTTGTTCCTTCATTATTTCTGTCATGTAAATAATGTACATAATGCTTGTGCTGGTTTTCAGCTTTATTTCCATACGAAATAATCAATGTGAGAAAGTTATACGACAGTAGAAGAGTACAACAGTATCTCAACAGTCTAACTTTGGTGGTACATGTGACTAAAAAAGCTTCTGCACAGAGCTGAAAGAAGGATAGATTTTGTTTCTCTCTCTGCTTCTGTTGATTAAAAATATCCAATCATAAAGACATCGAGAACAAGCAGCTAAATGAAGCATGATGAGCACTGCTGTGAGGAAAGGACTGTCACACACAAAAGCTGAGGTGAAAAATCAATGAGAAGATATTCTAGTGCAGACCTACTCTGTACTGTTACCTGTCTCGCTCTCCGTCCTACAGAGGACAATATCAAGAAATCTGCAAACATTTGTGTTGTTTTAGGAGTTTTCAAAAGTCAGTTACAGGACATGGGTACAATAAACAACAAAGATATTTATTTTTCTTTCTTTGAAGAAGGCCCAAAGGCAGACATAACAAAGTGAGGAGATTGTTCATCTTGGCACGCCACTGAGTCAAGCGCACCCGCCCTGGACGCATTGTTTATTTTCATTACCAACATTGTATTGCCAAATTAAATCTATTGATACAACTGGGACCTCCCCTACGTTTGCTGTACGTTCACACACCTTGTAGAACAGTTTAGTGTGGAAAAAGTAGTGAAGGTGGAGCTGAAAAGCTGAGCCAGAAAAATAATATCTAATAATAATAATATATATTATATACATATATATATATATGTATACATACATATACATATATATAAAATATATGTATATTTTATACATATATATGTATAT